TCATGCACCAATTCTTAATAATATTCATTGGCTAGAAGTTATTGCTACTTTCTTAGCTTATTAGCATTTGGGACACTTTAAATATTCTTTAGATCCATCAAAATTACCAACAGCAAATAGATGGTTCTTTTTGCAGCTAAACCAATTTTCTGAGAGCAATCCAAATTATTAGGGAATCTTAGAATATAGATGCTTAAGATCTTTAGTCTCATCATAATTTTTGGCTAAAGATTCAAATCTCAAAAATTCATTAGCAGTTACAATAAACTTCTTTTACTTTATTAATTAAAATGCCATTTAAGCATCTTACTCTAGAATTTTTCTTACTGGATCTAATTGTAGCAATTCTTCTTCATTATTATAATACCATTCCTTCTTGAAAGATTTTGCGAAAGATATCATAAAAGAAATTATCAGTAATTTCCTCTCCAGACTTAACAATAGGATATAGTGCTATTTTTAAGTTTTAAATACTTACAGCCACTCTTACATAATTTTATCAAGATCTTTTCTATAATCATAGTCAGATATAAATGTCAGCTCTCTCAATATTTCATTGTATAATTATTCTAAAATAATCCTTTTGTCAGAAATTCCAATAAGATTACTTTTGATTGTCCTTAAGTTTTAAAATATTTTTTGATTGTAAGAGTAATATCTAGTACATTTTTTGATTTAGGTTTTGCACTTAGGACATTCATTGAATCTTACCTATATTATTCCTTTTTCCTACAGCTAATTTTTCTTAAACAAGTTATCTAAGTATGTAGATTCAAATAAGTGACCACAGTCTATCTGAACAAATTTTGATTAATAATCACCCTCAAAACTATCAAATGCTTCATGATCAGGCTAGCATTCTCTACATATAGATGGGCATTAATCTCCACATAGACCTATACAATAGTGACCGCAATCAAGAATAATAGGGCATGCTTTAGTACAGGGAGCAATAGTGCAAGACTAATCACATTTATTTTTACATTTTTAATGTGTACATCCATTTTAGCATTTTTCTTTACAATCATCACAATATTCAAAGCATCTTTTGCCACATTTTTTATGTTTACACTACATTTCACAAATTTTCATGCATTATGAACAATCTTTAGTGCATCTATCATTGCAAAAGTGTCCACAAATTAAATTTCTAGAGCATGCTTCGTCGCAGAGTCCATGAAAATATTATGAAGAACACATACCACATGCTTTTAAGCAAGCATGCCCACATTCGAGTGGTTTCCCACATTTAACATAACAACCTGAAGTTATTATTTTCTTAAATTGCTCATAGGAAAGTGAACATTTAACTTCAATTTAGTGACCACAATTAGGCAGAGTCTTTATAATCTATTAACGACATTTTTCAAATGTACAATCAAAAGAACAAGCACTTAGACATCTATGACCACAGAGTTTAATTTTTTCACATTGAACCTTGCATTTAGCTTTACCCACCTATGAACAGTCTATTAAGTTTTCATGATTGCAATCTGGCATAGTGAAACTAACTTAAAATTTGCAAGGCTAATAATTATTTTTGCATTGATAGCATTTGTATTCGCATTGATGGCCGCAAGGATGATACCTTTGGCACTACTCCATACATTTAACACTATCATGGCCAGTTGGATCTTTTAGAGTTACCTCATAATTATGACACACACTTTTGCATGTGTGCCCACAGCTCATTTAAATTTCACAAATTCTATTGCATCCACCTTAGGCTACCTTGTCAAAATCTTCAGGCTTTTTGACCGCTGTAATCGTTTTGTGATTTCTACAACAGAGATTCAATGTATCTCCATAGTAATTATTTTTTGCAAGATATTTTAATACTTCAATCCATAGGTTTCCTTATTCATCGAAGCCTTTTTATTTTATCAAGCATTCTGAATTTCCAAAAATATACATTCCATGTTTTGCCCTAGAAAGGGCTACACATACTCTATTACTTACTTTAAGATATCCAATGTTATTTTAGCTATTTGATCTTACTAAAGAGAGGATAATTATGTCATTCTCTTCCCCTTGAAAATTGTCCACTGTAACGGCTTTTACCTTATTTATTGGATCTGTATCATTGAACATTTATTTTAGTTTGTTTTTAATATGGAAAGACTAGGCTTAGTAAAGAGATAAAATTGTAATTTGACTAGCCTGATATTTTTATTATAAAAGGTAACTTGTGAATTTGATAATCATATTAGCTTCGTAATCATTATATTTTGACTGGATATTATCATCAGATGCCTCTTGCTAAGAATGAGTCATAAAGAATAAATTCTTTTCGATTCCTCTAATATTAGGATAAAGTTTTACTCTTGCATCATCAGTGAGCTTAGGATAGAGAAATTTTACTAATTAAGATATCTCAGGTCGCATTCTTCTTTGGTTTGTTAAAGTTGTATATTTAAAATCACTTTTGACTAATCTCTCAAACATTGACATACTTAAATTATATTCTTTTTCAAGCTAGTAAACTGCTGGTGAGGGCCTTAACTACATGTGATCTCCAATAAGTACAAGATGTTCTGTTTTTTCGTTTAATGCAGTTAAAATATGACCTTCAAAAACTTCTGCTGCTTCCTCGACGATAACTATTGGGAAATTTACATCTTTTAGTAATTCACTATTCTTAGCACAGCCTGTGGTAGTCATAGCTACAACATCAGCTTGATTTAGTGCTGTTGCATAGACAATAGACTATAATTCTTTCTTCTGTTGAAATTTCATTCTATATGTCCTGATAAGATTTTCAAGATCATCAAATTTATTTAAGTCTTGATTACCAGCAAAGTAATTATTATATT